CACTGATATCCAGCAAAGCAGAACGTTTGGGTGGGTCGCTGCAGTACTTCGAGCAGCACTTCAGATGGCCACCTCATATCAGAAATCCTGGTCTTCAACAGCAAGGTGAAATGTGGGTATGGTAACCCACTCAACCTCAGAAGTGTCTCAGAAGTATCTCTACCGAAGCGTCATCTAGTTTCTGGTTTTGTCAACTTTTCACCTGCTCTGTTCAACAGTGTCAGTAGACTCCTCAGCCAGTGCCTGTCTAGCCTGTTTGGAACTATCTGGGAGAAATAGATAGTCAATAATGGTGCCCATTTTCAAAAGGTGCGCTGGCGGTGAATATAGTAGCCACAGAGGGTCCTGTTCATCATTATCATCATTGTCAGCTGTAATAACCACGTACTCGTCGTGCAGTGGTTGTAGCTGCCGCAGTTTCGTTCACCGATGTTTTTTTTTGGGGGGGGGATAGGTACACTGGGCTGTCAAGTGGGGGGTGGGTTGGAAAAGGAGCTATGCATTGAAGGCAATAGCTTGGAAGCACGAGCGCCATTGAGGGCGCGACTGGGCCATATCTGACAATGTCTCTAGCCATTGATGTGGCCCGTCTCGGGGTCCCCATCCAGGAAGACGGCAGTGACCAGCGCAGCTGAGTTTGCTAGTAATTGTTGATGATGATGCGCGATGAGCATCGACTCCGAATTGACTGCCTAGATGTGATTCCAAAGTGCTCCGATGACCGAATTGGGCATTCATATCGCCCACAAAGATCATTATGTCACTGCCTTTTGCTCGATGAATAAGCTCGGATAGCCTTCCACAGAAGTCTCCTCAGGTTCAGGATTGTATTCCGTTGGGTCATAAGCCGACACTACAAACAAGCACTGTTTTATGTTAAGAGGTATTGGGCTTAATTGAACTGGATAGCAGCACACTTCAAAGATGACTGTTCACTGGGGTCCATTCCAGCAAAGCGCTTTCAGCCCTGGGGCTGAGTGCAACTCCCGCACCGTATATTCCACGAGTCATCGCTTCAGAATCACCGGCCATAGGTAGGGAGGAATGCGAAAGAGCTGAGTTCGTTCTTGGTGCATGGAGATGCATTACTGCTGTTGTATGCGTGTTTCGGAGACGTATTATGCATCAATTTTACGAGAGTATAAGGTTTCAGCGAGAATTGCCTGTTTGCTAGTTTGACATGGAGTACGGAAGTTAAAGCTCATAGACAGCAGAGTCTATAAAGTCCATCTGTCAGTTGACTAACAATCGAATTACCCAGCAACGTTTGCTTGTGTTGTGGTAAGGGGTTAGGGAGGGATATCAATGGACACAGAACTGTGTGGGCAAATGATAGTCCCTGGTTGCCCGGGCCGAATAACGGTGTTTGGTTAAGGTACCGCATCTTGGACATTTGACTCAAAAGTCTGACCCACAATGCAGTGGGAAAATGTGGGATATTTTCGGTTTCTGACTCAGGAGTCTAACTCCAGAGGCAGCGGTCATTAGGGCTTTTCTGATGACTCTTCCTGGAGCCGACGGCTCAATAGTCTGACCTTCCCGGCTGTAGGGGGTCGGCCTGGCCCGAGTTCGTAGGGAGTAAGACGTTACTGTCTCATTCCCTATATGGCTGCGCATAATAGGTGTCTTTCGAGCAGCACCAGACTTCGGTTTTAAAAGTACTTCGGCTGTATTCAATAATGCGCCGGCGGTCAGTGTTAACCGTTGAGCGGTCGGAGTGTGCGGCCTTTAGGGCCCACCTTTTCTGACTCATCCTACCTCGGGGAAGAAGGAATCGGTGCCTCCACAAATGTGGCCATTCTGCTCACCTGGGGGAAATACCTTGCTGTCTTCACACTCCAATCACAGAAGACAGTAATACTTTGCCCTCAAACCGCCTCGTAGCACTATTATTCGTAGCATGAGGTTATGCTTCTCTTAGTCTGAATGCTTCCCTTTGACCTTCCTGACAGTTGAACCTTGTGGGGCGAAATTCCAGCCAGTATAGGCCGCGGGATCATTACAGCACTCAAGCTTGACCACCACCTCGGGTCAGGTATCTGACACCACGTGACGCTGTGTCCGTGCAGACCGGAAAGCGTGGTGAAACCAAAAGTTTGAGGAAATGGAAGATGCGAAAAATGCTGGAAATGTCTGCAAGCTGTTTCACTTACTTCGTTCAGACTCCTCGGAAGCCTCTTGTTGGCTTAAGCATTACGGACCAAGGGGCTCACTGATATCCAGCAAAGCAGAACGTTTGGGTGGGTCGCTGCAGTACTTCGAGCAGCACTTCAGATGGCCACCTCATATCAGAAATCCTGGTCTTCAACAGCAAGGTGAAATGTGGGTATGGTAACCCACTCAACCTCAGAAGTGTCTCAGAAGTATCTCTACCGAAGCGTCATCTAGTTTCTGGTTTTGTCAACTTTTCACCTGCTCTGTTCAACAGTGTCAGTAGACTCCTCAGCCAGTGCCTGTCTAGCCTGTTTGGAACTATCTGGGAGAAATAGATAGTCAATAATGGTGCCCATTTTCAAAAGGTGCGCTGGCGGTGAATATAGTAGCCACAGAGGGTCCTGTTCATCATTATCATCATTGTCAGCTGTAATAACCACGTACTCGTCGTGCAGTGGTTGTAGCTGCCGCAGTTTCGTTCACCGATGTTTTTTTTTGGGGGGGGATAGGTACACTGGGCTGTCAAGTGGGGGGGGGGTTGGAAAAGGAGCTATGCATTGAAGGCAATAGCTTGGAAGCACGAGCGCCATTGAGGGCGCGACTGGGCCATATCTGACAGTGTCTCTAGCCATTGATGTGGCCCGTCTCGGGGTCCCCATCCAGGAAGACGGCAGTGACCAGCGCAGCTGAGTTTGCTAGTAATTGCTTTCATACTTCGCTGCCAAGTCATTGTTTGACCGCCTTTGGCTCTCTTCCACCCTTCACGTGGTTGGTGCGAAAAGGCCCTTCGAGGGTCCTGTTGTGACAAGGCTTCTAGCGTCACTGATTCATCTTCGTCCTGCGGTGGTACACGACTCCTTTATCAGTCCTTGAGCATCAAGCGGGATTTCGACCGGGTAGGGGCTGCGTTTTGACCACATCGCGCTCCGTCAGGTGTTAGGGCAACGTTATATTTGCAGACGACCCACAATCTTGATATTCCTTAACTTCAAGGGCCCGTTCGATTCTGTCGGTCAGTGGTATTAACTACACTTGCTAAACAGAGTATGCCGCAGAATCTGATCCCTATATTCGCATAATTCTGGGCATGTAAGTGTATGTCGTCAGCTCTTCAAAAGCTTCGCTACAAGAGGTGGCATGCGACATGGGTGTCCACTGTCTCCACTCTTGTGCAACTTCGCAATTGATCGAATAATGAGGCGAACGCTGAATGTCTTCAAAACCCTGGTGTTCAAATGATGGATGATGGATACATGGCGTTCGTGCTGTCGTTTTCAGGTGTAGGCACCTCAAAATAACTTCGACAGGCCAGCACTCGGTTCATTTGTCACTCACTCTTTTTCCCTTATTTTCATTCTAGGGCTTTAAGTATACTTATGGTTGTATGGCAATGAGGGGTCAGCGTCGACACTGATGTTGCTGTCTCTGGTGCAGTTTCTGAATCCCCACCTCCCCGAATCATCTTTGGACAAAACTGTGGCAGCGACAACCACTGTACGACAAGTACGAGGTTCCTACAGCCGATAATGATGGTTATGAGTATCTGCGCAGGGGGGTGAGATAGCTCATTAATTAAAGCGCCAAATGATTGAATGGATGGCCTGTAAGCTAAACCCAAGCTCAACATCCAGATTGCTCCTGTCCAGGTTTGGACAACCTGACAGCATCTTAGTCCTAGTGCTTTCTCCAGGGGGCATTAGAGCTAACCACCGAAACGGTTTTTTAGCTGCACAATTATTACGGTTTTAGTCCTGGGGCTGAGTGCGCTTTATTGGACTGGATTCAAGCCTTGGCGTCGTTTACTTGATCTCTCCGATTGAAATCAGTGTATCTCGATGTGATACATGGCGTTCATTCGTTGTATCTCCATATGCTCCGACAGACGGCGGCTGAATGGCTGAAATGGGTGGCTCCCGTAAACACAATAAAAAACAGATTCATCAGCTATAGACCCTAGAATCCTTGGAAAATTGGTTCCACCTGCTACAACTTTGATCACCGGGAAGTGGGAGTGCGTGGAAGATACAGTCAAGAACTGAAGATGATGGCGTGTTCAGTTGGTTTGGGAAGTTTGTAGCTACGCCCTGAAGGCTTTGATGCACGAGCCCCGCTGACTGCACATTTGGGCCATTTCTACCATTGTCACTAACCTGGGGTACCCATCCAGAGATACCACAGTTGTCGATCCGACTGAGTTTACTGGTTAAAGTTTTCATACTTCGTTGCCAGGTCATACACTGTTCACTTTCACTCAGCACAGAGCTAACTGAAAAGGGTCTCGACATGCGGAGTACCTGCCCTAATCAGCTCAACCTATGAAGTATGAGTACTTCATCTGTCGCGAGAGAGTTCCTTCTAAAACAATCTGGTGCACCTCAACATTACTACCCCGATATTTGTACCAGACCCGACCAGTGTTTTGGAGACTTTGATGGTCAACCAGCTTTCGTATGTACGTATAGGTCACGGTTCTGATCCATAAAGCAGTATGGATCGATCGCCCTTCTACAATTTGAACTCCTCCATCGTCTGACATACTGATGTCACGTCGGCGCTATAGATGTCGGAGGTCGGCAAAAGTTGTCCCGGTCTTCCCGATTTCAGAAGTATCCTTATCTCCAGCTAGTCCCTCGGAACTTATACAACTTCTCGGGTAAACAAATTTATCAACAACGTCCACTGGCTCGTGAGGTGCACATTCGTGAACAGTAACTGAAAATTATTTCCAATGGTATTTTGATCATTTAGCCTCTTTGGCACTACTTTCCCCAATTTTTGAAACTCCCACCCTATTCATCCGGTTGGTTGTGCGTACGTTTTCTTATCTTTACGATTTTCTTCATAGCCTTACGTTCAACCGATGAACATTCGTCCCTTGACGTACAACTGCTGTTCTTTGGCTCTCACATAAGATCGCCATTCCAGACATGTTGGAAGCCAACTGTGATTCTTCAGCGAATATACAGACCACTGACCCTGACCTCAGGACTGAGTTTTCCGTCGATCAGATAGTTGCTGACGAAACAGCATCTCATGACTGGCTCCCACACATTGTGCAAGAAACTCTCTCCGAGCTTCCGAACCCTGAATCGCGCTACAAACTGCAATCCCTGTTGAATGATACGTTCAAGACTGTTCAACTTCATCAGTCTACCTGTCTCAGTGCCCAGGCCGAAGCTTCTGAATTGAAAGAACGTTTAAAGCTACTTGAAATAGAGCTTGGAGACGTGCGTAGCGCTGCTGCATTGATGGTTGATGGTCAGGATGACGCACTGTCTAACCTGAAACGTCGGTATGAGGAAGAACTCGCCTCACTGCAGTCAATTTCACAACACCAGCTTGCCGACCTAGAGGCAGCTGCTGAGAAGATGTTACAACGCGTAAGTTTGTTACAGTAGTATTGTTCCGTTCGTTGCTGTTTGGCCGTCCGTTGTCCAGATCATGCCTAGATCAATTCAGCGACTGGTTTAACCGACTGGAGGTTCTTTGTACCAGTTTTGTTCGCGCAAATACCTAGAACATGAGAGCGTGTAATCCAGGGCAGCGACTGTTGCCTCAATCAGTTATGGCTTATTATACATACTGTGGTTCCCCTCCACCTTTAGGCGTGTACCAGAAGTAATCTCTTGTGAGATGTATTTTATCATAAGGAAAATCTGTACAATGAGAACATGATACAATTTGGAGTATCTTATTGTGTTGAAGAAAAATTTGATATTACTGTGTGTGATGCACTCCCACAAATTTCTTGCAGTTTATGCGAAAATCAAGATTTAGAAGTTCTTACTCTTTTCTAACTACAAACAGTCACATTTTACGGATCCATCATACTCAATCAAGATAAAATATTTCATCTATGTATTGATAAGGTGTGAACCTGGTTGAGTGACCGTAGTAGCCACATTGTTAGTAAGAGGTGTCGCGTCGCATACTGCCCTAATCAATAAAATGGATATTACTGCGTGAAATAGTTTCGATTTTATCAAACGTATCTGAAGCATTTCAAGTAAGCGTGGGTGGGATCGAAGGGGTACAGCCAGTCGCTGGGTTTCAGGCTGCTTCATCCGTAATGCGTACGAACTGACTAACGCATACACTCACAAACCATTTATTCTGCTTGACCCGGCTACCATCTGGTCAGGTAAACTGGACGAATGACTACTGTGGTTTCTCCCAAGAGGGATTTCGACAGAAGCATACTTCTGGTCCGAGCGGAGTGGTAGCCCCCTTGGGTCCTAAACTATTATGCAGACTCCAGTAGACCAAACAGATTTGGTCTTTCCTGGGAGGTCCGTTTTCTCAACCACACGAAGGGTGGAAATAAGCTATGGGAGGTCATGCACAAACTTGGCGGCGAACTATGAAAAGCATTACCCGCGAACTCAGCTGAGCTTATCATGGCTGTCTCTCTGGATTTCGACCCGGAGACAGGATACACCACTGGTTACATACATTGACGGACAACCGAGTCGCGTGCTCGGTGGCGCGCACGCATCCAGTCTGTCGCCCTCAGTGCATATCTTCCCCTCCCGATATCCCCGCTGTAAATTCCACTGACGCTACTGATCTTGTGCACCACTTTTATGATACACTGCTCCAAGGCGTAGCTATACACCCCTATCTCATATCATCGGTGAACCAGGCTGTGGCAGCTCTGGACGTTGCACAACATGTTTGCGATTTTAAAGCTGATGATGATCATCTGTGTATGGATTGGCTGTTAGAACATACTTTCATGTTATGGCCAGAGTTTTTATCGTTGTCCTTAGATCGGAACCCGTAAGTTGGTATTTTATATTACATTAATATACGGTCTGTTTTCTACCGCATGCATATGACGATGGAGCAAAATAAGTTCCATCAACAGTAGTACTGTGGCTTGGTTTGGAATGTCTCCACATTTTTAAGGGGAAAGAACTGCTTATGGTTTCTGAGGAAAGACTCTCGTTTTATTTCGAAGGTTCTGGCTCAATTTACAATGCAACGCTTTTACGTTTGAGCTGCTGACCCATTTTTTCGTTAACCCTGGTCTCATCCTGTACAGTTCATCGAACCAATCAACATAGTATGATATTTTTGTGTTGCCAAAACCGTCTTTGTTTAAACTATTCAGCGTTTTAATCATCCACGCTCGTCGTTAAAGTCACCATTTTATTTTATTGTTATCTAGACACTGATAAATTGAGCTGATCGTGGTTATGTCCAACGTCCAATCGACCATGTCGGGACCCCGTGCAGTTACACGTATTAACTATGTATCACTGATTTTTAGCACACAATTTCCATTTCAAAAATGTTCACTTCAGGTATCCTTATGTCGGCTTCTGTACCACACCAACCCTATATCGTTTGTTGCGGAATCCTTTTAGAGCTGATGAAGTGAGAGCCTCTGGTTTGCTTGCGCGATCGAAGCTAATTGGTATTTGGGTCCACAGTTTCGGAATAATGATGCTTATTCCCAGACAACCTCAAAGCTTATATTGTTGACGATACTGTCGACATCCGTGAATCAGCTCCAACTAACCCTCTGTGGTGGTAACATATATTCACCTGTAGACACGCTACCATCTGATTATGATTGAAATACACCTGTGCAGGGAGATTGGACCTAGTGGATATTTTTCTTTAATCTTTTTTGGCCTGTGGTTTATGCGGTTATTGGCATAAAAATCTCATTCATTTCCGCTTTTAAATGGTGATTTTCACCATTCGTTTTCTTTTTTACCACGTAGGAACGTGCTCGCTGGGCAGAAGAGCGAAGTGCATTGCTGTCGCGGTTCGAGGCTCTGCGGGGTTCAGGAAGCCCGGTTTCACGTCGATTTTCGACTCCCATTGCCCCTCCAGTTAATCGGTCAAATTTTCCTGTGCAGCATCCACTCACAAGTGATAATGCGCTTATTCGCATCCCTAGTGGCACAAATTCTCCAGTCGAAGCAGAAGTGAATGTATCTTCCCCCCGTTCTCGTCTTGTGGATAGTTCAAACCATTACGGCGAGGCGGACGGTAATTCCTTCGCCGACAACGATGAAATGGGCTTGGTCCGCATGGGCGCAACATACATCAAGCGATATGAGGATGAAATCGCTCGATTGCGCAGAATGTTGGAAGATTCAGTCTTGCAAAACTACAACAAGACACCTGATGAAGGTAAAAATAAAAATTTCGCAAGTACTCTCATCCAAAGAGACATGGTGAACACTATGCCATCGGTTAGACCATCTTCCTGAAAGGGCCTGCAGTTTGCCACGCCGTTTAGTTAATTGCAGATTTATCTGTACCATGTTGAATGATTAGCACTATAGAAGTCCGGAGTTTGGCGGTTTTCATTTGTTTCTCAGTTAACTTGTGTCATTTAGTTGATCGTTTCTGGTTTTGACACCACCTCTATGCAGCGAAGTAACGATGACCGAAGTGTGGCTTCCCATTAGTGCAGTATGTTAGAAATGACGAGGGTAGTCTCATCCGTATCCTCATTGACTATCTCCTTAGCATGTTTGATGTCGAAAAAACTGTCATTAGAATGACTGCCACCCATGGGTTGTTTCGAAGCCACGAAACCCCCTAAGTTTTCTTCTTTCTGGTTGCAGTTGGGAACTTTGAACTCACAGCATAATTCCTCCTGGTTGCTTAAATTATCTTGCCCATATTCGGATGTTAATAATGATGACGTTTCAGCTGTGACATCCTTTCGGTGCCTAGCTGCCATACCTTCCGAAGTAAGCAAGAGAGCTGAGGTACTGCCAGGTTACCCAAGTCTGGACAGGAGTAGTCGGGGTGTAGAGGTCGGGTTCGAACCAAGGCCATACCTTCGAAGTAAGCAAGAGAGCTGAGGTACTGCCAGGTTACCCAAGTCTGGACAGGAGTAGTCGGGGTGTAGAGGTCGGGTTCGAACCAAGGGGTTTCAGATGTGCAAGTTCGCGACTTTACCACTGATCCATCTCGAACTTGGATGTACTGGTTGATGCTGTGTTTTCGAGCGCCTGATTGCTTTATCGTCCGTGATTCTAGTCGTATCTTTTACATGAGATGTCCGATTTATCTGTTCACACGAAATGTCCAGTGTGGACCCATATCGTCGAATCAATTGGGAATTATTTCGTCAAATAATACATCTGTACACTGATTGCTTTTCTTTGCCATCAAATTGCAATCCTAGCTCAAATCGTTTGTCTTCAAAGTCTGTCACCATATTCAGCTCTTGAATTTACTCTCCATCTATAGTGTTCAGTCTTTGTGGTGCGAACATTTATTTTCATACCGCTGTGAAAAGTTAGACGGGAACAGCTCAAGAATGGAATTGATTTTCATGCCTGGTAGACGACAGTGTGGTTCTCTAAACAGAACCACCCTCGGGATCCGGTCGAAATCGTCCCTTGTGGGTGATGATCCTGTTTGCGGTGATTGACCATGAAATCAAACTTTTCATTTTGGAAGAAATGGCAATACCTATTTGCGTCTCAGAAGCTTTTCTTTCTCACTCAGGGCCTGCTTGGGGAAGAAGGATATACCATTTTGTGTAAATTAATCATTCCAGTAGAGTCTCTGTGAGTTTTTCTTCCGTCTTGACATCGTTGTCTGTTTTTTGTCGTTCACTGAGTGATTTTGAACGATGAGGCGCAACGTATCCGCATTTTTCATGGTAACCTCAACAAATAAAGTGAGCTCAAAGGGCTAAAATGCGTCACGTAGACAGATTGCAAAATCTAGAGAATGCGGATAGGCTTGACTGGAATCCTTAAATCCTTTCTTTTAATGCTGTCGCTGGTTATGCTTCGACGGCTAATACTTTGGACACGAGCTGCACAACGACGACCGCGAAAGACACCTCATTCTTCGCTAGAAACTGGCATTTTCTGCCCTTTTCTGTTGATCCTATGCGGGATGGAAACAATCCGGAATTGTGCGGTCTATGTTACAATGGACCACGCAACCTCGTTCAGCGTATTGAGTCCTATTGCTATTGTGTACAGTATCTCGGGACCAGAAACCACGAGCTGACGTAACTCTGCATCTCACGCGTCATTCTCCATTGCCTTCAATGCAAAGTTGTCCTAATCCCCACTTGGTACGAGAAGTAGAGCCAGTCGACTTTTTGAACTTCAGGTGATGTGACTAATACAGTCATCTAAAACACTTGTCTAGGTCTTTCACCAACGATCATTCTACACTTCTTCCAATTTGGTAATCCTTTTGAAATCTCTTGATCCATCTTATTGTTGCTTCTGCAGCACCCTAGGTTTTTACAGCCCACGTCCTTGAAATCCTAGTATTAAAATTTTCCACCAGACGTTTAGGTTGGACACGAACGAATGTGCTTCTTCGTATACTAACAATAATGTCAACCAGACGCTCGAGATGTGGCTGCGCAACAACTCACTTCCGGCCATTGAAGGGCACAATTTCGTGTCGCTATTCTCATTTAACAATGAACAGGTCATTAAATTAGATGTATCACACACACACACACAGTAGGTACCAGGCTCGTAGCACGCCAAGTAATACGCCGAAAATAGCATGCTCAATAGGTCAAATGGGTATGTGCAATTTGCATAGGGGTTTTTCCTGATCCTATATCTTCTAATCATGTAAACGCAGAAATTCTGACAGCTAGTATTCCTTGTTTCACTGACACGTGCAATGTTTTACCCATGTGGGATGTTTCTACGCACAGGTGACCCTCCGTTATCGGATTCTGTACAGAATAATACTACGGAGAATCGTGAGACACCGAACTCTGATTCTAATGTTGTCCGGCGCGCTAGCCCGACTGACTCGCCCAGTTTCGTGATGGACGAGCCTCAGACTAGACTTGGTGAGCTTCCAAACAGTCCCATCACTGAAACTTCATGGCTTCGTTTGCAAAGAAGGCTAAAGGACACAGATCAACGTTCTTCGACAGGATGTGTTATGTGCTCCAACTATGAACACCAACTACAAATTCTACAGTCAAATCAACAAGTAGGTGTGTTGTCGTGTTTGACATCATGTTACATCTGTCCGTCATAAAAGACTTCATTGTCTACCCTGGCAAATTTATGTGATGACTCAATTTTTCGAGCACAGGTTCCTTGGTTTCAATCATCGGCATTAGCCATGAACTGTCCACATGTACCGTGGTTTCATCTCTCAGTTTTTTTAATCAGGTTAATGATTGACCAATACGAAAAGACATTGGAACCCAAATTCAGCCTCCATTAATTTCCAGGCGGCATGCTTCGGAAAAAAATTAAGCATGCGTAATGAAATCGTACGACTATCAATCAGTCGGATCAAAAAGTACCCAAGGATTGTTAGGAAATGAATACTTTTCGTTTGAAATTTAAACGCAACTAACTAACAGCTAAAAGTTCCTCTCAGTGTTACAGCTATTCTTCACAGCCTCATCTGGACACTGTCACCTGAACCCTTTTGCCTTGACAATAGCTGAACTCATGCTTCCTACTGTTATACACTTCGGCACGTGCTGGTGTGATACCCAGCCTGTCTAATTTATTAATAAGGTCAGGTGGACCATCCAATGCCATCCATTTATCCTTAGGCTTGTCCCTCAAAATCGAATACAACATCTTCCGTAAAATGGTTTCTTTAAGATGCTTTCACATTGGGATTCTCAGTCAAACCTAGTTATCCCATGAGAGGAAACAAAAAATGGGAATGGCCTCGATTCGGAAGTCAATAAACAGATTTCCCACAGTGTGGGTTATGGTGAGGTTTCTTCTTTTTGAGTCCGGAACCCGTATCCTATTTTGTAGTTTACGATACTCATCGGCGTGCGCTGACACCTTAGCCATGGAGCCATAGATATGGAAAGTCGCTCGCGATCCGTTTTTTAACAATGTATTATTATCAGGGGAGCTGTTCACCTTGACCGTAAGCAGTCACTTGAATGTAATCCCTTTCGGTTGGCGGAATGTCATAGTCTGTTTGGAGCGTCTTTCTAATTCCTCAGTAATAACCGGTATTCAGACGGTACTGCTGTGAGAGTCCGGCCTGGGAATTTTTATGATCAGTATGAGTATGAGTTCTCTGGTCAGTTGCATCAGTTGGTAAACAAGGCTTCGAGACAAGATATCCTATTAGTATTTCGTGATCGAAGCGCTCGAGTTGGCGAACAAGACGGCAACAGACGCCGTGTACTTGGCAGGTTTGAACTGAGCCAGCATGTGAGAAGTTTAAAAGGCTTAGAAAATTCCCCTCCCTTCATAATTTAGCTGTCAGCAATACCCTTTTTCAGCATCTCCAAAAAATCCCACGGACCGTGGTCATGGTTTATTAGAGAGACTATGTTCTGGTGGGCACACGTTGGTCCCTATCGGTTAATGACTGTGAGACGTTTGGGGTCGAGAAACGCAGGCGTTCCAGACCACATGGTTATACGAAAGAGGAAGCAGTAAGTATCCTCCACGGTGTATCAAAACCGTGACACTCAGCCTCCCGGATATCCAGCAAATGCTTTCAGGCGACAGATGTGTATTTTTGCGAAATACACTCATTTGTGTACCAATTTGATTTTGACGGGAGTCTCACTTTGAACCCAAATGAATCTGTCGCTTACGATGTTTTTAAGCAACTGAATGTGCTTTTTCATTTGGTACGTCAATCCAAAAATCACGATACGTGTATAGACTTGTTTTGTTCCGATAAACGATCTTCTTGGTTAATGGTATCCCCGTGAACTTCGCTAAGACCCATCACTCATTAGCGAAGGCCCGGGTCGGGTATACGGCAATGAAACCACAATTTGACACTGAGTCTAATTTACAATAAGGCTGTCCACCTTCACCGGTGCTCCCTGATTTCACTATCGATTGGTCACTCGAAGGGGCATTGGATGGGTACTGTGGCGCCTAGTTGGCTCCCAAACCTATATAGCTGATGACATTCGTTTTGCTGGTTGATGACTTGGAAAAACTCTAGCGTCTCTTGGACAGCCTAACTTACTACGCAGCACCAGTAGGACTGGAAATCAATATGCCACAGAACAGTCCACCAGTCCAGCCTCCCAACATCTGGAGTGAAATAACCTTACAGATTGGCGATTTCAAATAATTCACCGTATTTCCCGATCAACAAGCTCCACCATGTCTTAACGCAGCTCAGCACCGTCTTATGGGTAAAAATTAAGTTTAGCTAATTCACAAAAATTAGGATTTCCATTACCTGCTAAACCTGGTCTGGAGGTGCAGAAGCTATTCAAGAGCTAAGGGTTTTTTATCACTGATATCTTTTACGTACAGTGAGATTTTTCGATCTGGAAAGGATTTACAGTGATGAGATCAACTGTGACCCCTGTTCCAACCCCTAAAAGGACGTTTGGGCGTTAGTTGCTCGGGAGCAATACCGGGATTGCGAAGCGAACGTTGATCCTTAAAGCACTATGAGGATGGCATTGTCGCTTCGGAGGACAGCTTACTCGGTACGGTCAAGGGCGACGCAGAACGGGTGGGTCCTCGCGTGGTCTACGAATTCCGCCACTGGGTAAACATTGGATCGCGATTTGTGCACATCTGGTGGCCAGTTATCGCGCCTTGGTGATACGTATCCGCTATATTTCCGAAGCTTATCCAGTCTCAGCAAAGTCTCGTTCGGATGTATAAAAAAGTAATGCCAAACTACGGTCAGAAAAACTAAAGCCTTTGCCTGTCACTTCGTCTTGCGAAGGCTTTTACTGTGAACTAAGTTCCAAGCAGATTTTCGCACAGACACGTTTTGTGTTGTAACTTGCTGAACGCTAGTGCAGTAGAACGATCCGCCTGAACCTGCGACAACGAAAGGGTCAGACCGCGGGTAAAACGTTGCGGGCTGCTGGCAGGGTTTACCAAATTGGACTGAGGTAAGAGGGCTACTGCTATCCGGAAAGACAAGAAAGGAGGGCCGGCAGGAGGGACGCCATAACAGTCACACAGATACCAGCCACTGATTCGAGAATATGGGGAATGCTGTCCACGGTGAACGCAGGATCGACTATGTCAAACACGAGGCACACGTAAGATCATCAGCACATCCGTGTCAGGTGAACCAATTTCAGGTAACAGACTGCGGTTCGGTGAGGGGACCACGTCACATGGGACACCGGACAGAAGTGACATACCTCCCAAGTGGAGGGTACCGGATTCCAGATCAGCATGCTGGCAGCCCCAGGGACGGGCCGAAATGCGATAGCAACTCCATAAGTCGTCACAATGGAGTCCAAAGCAGCATTCCATTGAAGAGTCTTCTCAAGAGGAAGGCGTACGGAGGCCAGCCGTCCCTAATAACCGAACATCACATCATTTGGACGGATGTTTCACGCTCAGGACACCGGCCAAACGAAGGCGTGTCCTGATTGATCAGAATGCCGGTCAATCCGAGTCAAGCACCTTTGACTCGACGCTTCTCTCCCCCTCACGGAGATTCTGGCACGACCTTGTGGGACATTCTGTGACTACCATATAAATACAGTTGTAATAATTTTCTTTTGTCTCCATAAAGGGCTGTGTAGAGCTACCGTGTTTTTTTATATGCGATAGTGGGTGGAGCAGGAAGCCAAGGGATCGATACAGAGTTGCACTAACGTTCAGCAAGTTAAAACATTTTGATACTTCTGAAAGCATATTATCGAATCATGTAATCCCACCATCTGAGCACAAGAAAGAAGCCAGAACGATCCCAGCAGATAAGTCCGACTTTACGGAAAGGCTGAATAACACAGTATGGCGAATTTCAATCGGGAAGCAATGCGAAGCTAGACGCGCAAGATACATGTAGTGGAGGAATTGGTGTGCGAAGTTATACGACCAGCAGTTCTCTGACATACGAACATGGCCGGACACTGCCACAATTTCTGTCGATCAGCGGAGTCAAAAGCAGGTCTGAGTTGGTCGTTGGAAGGAGTGACGCAATTTCAGGCATGTTCAGAAACTGTAAATTCCGAAAAATGATGTGAAGCTCATATCGAAGGACTGGATAACCTGGGTGACAAGGTTAGTTCTGAAGTTCGGGGTTTCGGGTACCCTCTAGGGTTTATCTCATTACTTCAGCAACGATGAAGTTAACAATGGAGTGGGTGGACATCCTTGCTGGACGCTACCGCTTGTAGGGAAGCTTATGGTTAGCTGCCGATACACGTTTGCGAACGCAGAAGTGTGCGAATACAAATAGTGCATGATATTCATGAACTTCTTAAGAACACCCTGTTGCACAAGCGTACTGAAAACGACGAACCCGTTGAAAGAATTGAAAGCTTGCTTGAAACCAATGAAAACGTAGGTTTTAAGGCACATACGGGCCGTTACGGGTTGGAATCCTGTTTGCTGTTCTAGAGTCCCCTCTTCACATACCTTCGTAAGATGAATTAGAACAAGCGATGCAGTATCCAATTAGAATAAAGCCCAATCCAATTCCTCTGTTGGTGCCACATTCACCATAAGCACTTTTTGGAGTTTTGCTACTACTGTTAGCTCACATCCGTTGATTGAGACGGTCTCTTCCATCTATGTGGAAGTAAGTAAGCTGGGCGAACATCGTCTGAGGAGGTGACGCGGCTGAAAATATTCGTTAAGAGACACTGGGAGAAACAGAGCAGGTTCAGGAGCTCTGAACCCGAGGTGTTCGTCACACTGTTCTCTACTGCAGCCCTCATCTCTTGGGAACTTCGTAGCAGTCTGACGAATGCAAATACAGCGCTATCCGACGTTCCAGTGTGTGGCGGGTCCCGCAGACGAATACAACAAACGGAAGGGTGTTACGGATGGAATATCGATCCTGATTGAGCGTGAGTCAAGAGTGAATAGCGTAAAATGAATAACGCTTTACTTATCTAAGAATAGACGCACATAAGCTGAAAGTGAAGGCGAAAGCATGTTTAATACAAAACGACAATGTGAACATAAAGGATAGTCATGACATTCACCCGGGCCGTTGGATTGTATTTAGAGAGGGGTTACTCGGACACAGGGACTGTGTTTGAAGATGCAGGTCCATCGCCCGGACACGGAGGTGAGACTGAAGTATGATCGGTATCATCTTCAACGTTGTTGAGCGGAGGCGCGTGTGTGTCAGACAGAGGGGGTGTATGAACGCCATTCCCTCTACTGGGTGACGTACGCGTGAAGTCGTTGACATGTGTGCGATCATCACAAGGAGCGAGATGGCGGACGGATACAGTGCCTTCTTTTCCTCCGGGAAAACGAACGTGTGGATTACAATTTATAAGTTCGACTTCCTCAGCGACCAATCCATACTTTGAGGCATGGTCAAATATTTTCAGTAAAACAGATCCTGGAGTAGTTAGCCAAGTTGGTATAGACAAACCACAGGATGACCGACGTTCAAACCGGAAGAACCGTTCATGTGGAGTGGCATTCGTGGAGACGCAGTGAAGGGACCGTACGGAGTGGATGGCATCTGATAGGGCCGACTCCCAGTGACAGTTTTGAAGGCCTTTCACCTGAGCTGGCCCGTTGAGGCGTTGGACTTGCCCGTTCCCCTGGGGACTGTAAGTCGTTGTTCGACTGGTGCAAACTCCTCTGTCGTGGAGGGACGGTTCACCAAAGAACGAAGAGCCACGATCCGAATGTACATGTGCAGGTATACCAAACAAAGGATACTTCACATATACATTCAATAACGGTGGATTCACATGTATCTGCGCAAGGAAAGGCAAACGGAAAACGGGAATACTCGTCAACGATAGTAAAGAGATATCGGTTTCGAGTAACAGAGGGCAGAGGTCCTTTAAAATCGATGCTAATTTGTTCGAACGGTTGAATCGCTTTGATAAGCGTAGCGAGGCTGGTGGTTTGTAAACCGTACACAATCCGTACACTTTTTGGTGATGTCTTTGACATCTGCGAGGAAAAACGGTAAGTTTTTTGGAAAGCACAAAGTGATGCATGCGAGTAATTTCGGGGTAGCACAAGCAATTTTCGCTTCTAGTTTATCGTTGCCGATCACATTGGTGCATAAGTTAGGCGAGAAGGTGTCAGATTCTTTTCCAGGTTTGTAGCTGACGTCGTAGCTAAAAGCGGAGAGTTCCATTTTCCGTCGCTGGATTTTATCGTTTGTTATCTTACTTTTCTACAACGTGCCATACATGAAGGAAACCGATCGCTTGTCAGTGATAAGTTTGAAGTGCTTCCAGAAGAGATAATGCTTCCATTTACGGATAGATTCAAAGGGGTAAAAATAACGAGTCAAGTGGAATATTGTGTTGGTATGAATTTCACGCGACTTCCTGCTAGTCTGTTTAACTTTTCCCCACAACCGACTAAACTAACACTCTTCTCGTGGTCGATACTTCCACACTGGAAAACAATAAAATCACTTCAGTGAACATGAACAGCATATCCAATCATTCTTGAGGCTACTTTTCTGATGAGGGCCGCAATGTACCAATTTGTACAAGTCAGCACATTCGTTCCGACAGTTTCGCCGCGGCAAAAGCGTGATGAATCGGTTGGTTGACCAAGTGGCTGATATGACTGTATCCCCACCATCTACAGAAGTAAGATATGAAAAACACACTCACACCACAGAAGACCGAACCTTTCATTTCATACCGGGCACTACTAAACCGGCTATGAGCGCTGTGCTTCGGAGCCTTATCTTTGATAGAGGCCTTTGTAATCTGATCAAAAGAAACTTACGTTACCCCTGCATTTACTTTGGCTTATAAACTACTCTATTCTTACGATCTAGTTTACTTGTGAGGCGCTCACTAACCCATTAACTTGTTTACACTTTCTCCTCCCACTTACATATTTATCCGTGGATTTCTTACTATTATTACTTGTGATGTATTTTATTGAGTCATTCGGTCATTAAAATCCAACCTCCATCACTACTTCCGTTCTTCTCTTAGTCAAACTGTTATGTTTGATCCACACAAAATAAGGCCGGGTATGAAAGGCTTGTGACATTTCCTACCAAAACAGCTCATAAAATATACTCATTTGCAAATCAATTAGGTTTTCACGAGAGACTCAACTGAATCTCCCGTTTAAAATGTTCTACAACTGAATGTGCTGCACACAGGCCACCTCATGTTTCAGTTGGCACGATATTCGAGATATCGCAGTAGATTTTCATGCAGAACACAGGGTTGGTGGAAACTCGGGAACTGCGCCTATTTGATGAGCCTTAAGAAGGGCGAAACCGGTCGTGAGCTATCAAAGAGTTTTCAGCGACCTTGTGAGTAGCTTCCTTCATAAAGCCCATAATATAAATATATCAATGCATCTATTACACCTCAACAAGTCCAAGTGCTTAACGATAAATCTGACGTATACTATCTGCTTGTTATGTCAAATATTCCAGCTGAAGGACAAAACTCTACGGGAGCTGACTAACGAGTTAGCAAAGAAGTCTGGACAATTGGCAGTGGCCCTCCAGAATCAATCTGATTTGGAGACCGAGCTAAAGTCACGTACAATCACACATGCCAAACGAATAGAATTGTTGGAATCATCAATAACTCGCTTCAGTGGGCGTTTGGAAGATTTACTGTCTAATTACCGCGTAAGTCAACATTCTGCTAATCGGTTTACTCTGAACTTGTGTTTTATCTGTGTACGTAGACCTCTCTTTCTTATCCCTTTTCAATTCCTATTTTTGTCATCTTAGAATTTCGGAAACGGTGGATTTTTCCACATTTAGTTCAAGAAAGATATTGTTTGGTCTAACGTGTCTCACTGTAGCCGTACCTGCTTTATTCCTGGTTTTTGTCACGCCTGGTTTTGTTGATTTTATTGCGGCTCATTCTTATGGGAGCCTAAGCCAGATCGAGCACCGTTTCGGATTGCAATTGCTCGTTATCTAAGATGAGCAAGGCCACTTACGCAGCTCACCATTATGGCGAACATGTTTTTTCTTAGAAGTTTTCTACAAGTAACGTTCACGTCCATACTCAGGTTTTTCGAATTTGAACCTTTGGTCTTTTTGTAACCATGTGCAACGCAGTATGGGAATAAGGGAAAGTCGAACCTTCAGCAGAATCGCTGGTCATTGAATATGTGACCTGATCCTGTCAAATCGCCGCAAGTATTTTCACGCACTGACCCAGGAATTGATCTGATTAGCTTTTCGACACGGTTCGCCGTCTAAATCAGTGAACACTTTTTGTGATGTTGGTATAATCCTGAAAATAAGGAGTGATGGACAGCAATACTACCAAGCGCCACCTTTGGTGGTGAAATCCGGAGAAAAGCCTGCTCGGACATTTACGCATTCACATGTGTCGGATTATTGCGGACGTAGAAGTGGAGCGGGCACGAAATTTAGAAGCTCTACCGTCTCAGTGACAGCGCCTGCACCAGCTCCTTGTGTCCGCATACTACTAACGATGTAGTCCATCTAATTCTGATGGAGCATGTGAGTTGATATTATTCTAAGACTTACTGTGTTTGAGCTCGGTTCTTCCTCATATCATCAAAACTATATAAGCAATCGCCTTTACTTTTACTTTGATTTGCGTTCAGTTGGGCTCGGAGCTAATCGAAATTCGATTTTTTACTATTGGTTTTCCTTTTTGTTTGAGAATGAAACACGGCAGCAAAATCTTGCGCGACATCCCGGATTTATTAATTCTGCCTGTCCCATCATCGAGCAAAATAAACCGAAGTGAGGAAAAAGTTGTTATTTCAAATGTCTGTAAGTCTCCTATTTCGGTGGCATCCGCGGGCGGAAGAAGACCAAGACATCTTAGTTTTCCCCTTCATTCTTCCTATCATCATTTGAGATGGAGTGCTCACATATTAGGACTGCGAAACAACTTCGAAATATCATGCATATTATGGTCTACTTTCTTTTCGTTTCTTATTTTCTTGTGGCGTTGCATTTTCTATTTTTTTCGTGATAGGCTCATCGGATGAACACTGAAACCGATCTTCGACTTCTGACCATCGAGCGTGAAACCCTTCAGGCCAACATGGAAACTTTGCAAGCGCATTACGACGCTCTGATTGGACGGCGATCGAAATCAGCAACTGAATTGAGTGAACAGCCTATTCACCTACCCAGTGATAAAACAGAACTCGAATTGCTCGCTCTAAAGTTGTACGAAGAAAATCTATCACTTCGGTAGGTGTGTTACGAGTGAATTTCCGTCTGACTTCATTATGGTATGCCATTAGTGGAATCTGGTATATCTGTACACAAATCCAAAAGTCATGTGTGGAACTAGGGACAACAGGGTAAGATATGAATGGCTTCAGCGTTGGAATAAGTCTCCTAACTCACATGCAGAAACCTCTAAACCCTGAGAAACTCAAAGAAGAAGTTCACAATCACGCCGTCGATCGTTTCCGCCAGACATTTTAATCGACTGCTTCGTCTCTTATTCCAAGTTATTCTGACGGGAAATAATCATACTTGCCCTGGTATTTGGTGGCACGTGACGTCATGGTTGGCACACTGACTTAGCCTATCTAATGCCATCACTACTGCCTACGCACCGTTAAATGTCGTTAGTTCCCAATTGTTCAACCGGGGGTGTTCTGCACCCATTAAAGTCAGCAGTTTCCCCGGAATAATAGTAATATCAAGATAGGTCATGGGCGTCGAATACCCACCAGAAAGCTTAGCATTTCGTATCCGGCATTGACTTCTCAGCTGCTTTTGTCGAGCTGTGTATGACCTTCTAGTGTATCAACCCTCATGTTTTCTATGAGTCATAGGCACCTCTGCACTGGCGGAACGGTATATTTTGCCCCGCAAAACGAACGGCTATTAAAAGGCCATAAGCCGTCAGCCGATATCATCTGTGTTTAGTGCTTGTTTTCTAAACCAGCCTTACAGTGGGCAGTCGATATCCCCGTATCACTCTCGCACTTTATTCTCAACTTACCATTTTTACTGGTGGCCTCATCTCACAACAATAATTTGCGATTTGTTTTAGAATGATGTAAAATTTACCCATATTTAGGCCACATTGGCCAACATTTGGATTGTATTTGCCCACCCTATTGGTTCGAGATGGCTCAGTGGTTAGAGCGCTGATTTACTGACCGGAAGGTCCGTGGTTTGAACCCGACCTCTGTCTCTCGACTTCCCCTGTGTAGGCCTGGCAGTATCCCAACCCTCGTACTTCCTTCTGATGGTATGGCTTTTAGGTACCGAAAGAGTGCTACGGAGGAGCGGTTTTTTGATCACCCGATTTACTGTAACTATACGGCACTAAAATAAAATTATGACGATAACTTTTGTGCAACTTTCTTAGGTGTGGATACATGTATTGTGTCATTGGTTGTGATAGCTCTCAGTAAGCCACTTTTCGTCCAACAATTTAATGGGCGCGTCTTCATGGGTTGATGGCTGGAGATTAATTCAGATTAATTTCAGTTTGTGGCCTCTGCATGGTATGGCTTCTCTCATACGATTGGAAGACTTATTTGAGCTATGCAGCGTAGTTATCTATTTTTTGGTTCCCAAATCACTCCACTTCGTCTGGGAACCTGGTCGGGATAAAAACAATAATAGAAAGGCCGGCAACTACCCTGTCAAGTCGTCGTTCCAGCGACTACACGCAACAGGACGTTGAACACTTTCTGTTGGTGAGAAGTATGCCACCCAACAAGGGACTCTCAGTCTTCATCATCATTGACAGCAACTTCAGATAAGGCCACCAGTGCTTCACTACCATACAGTCGTGTCATTTCGTAATGGAAAGAAAAAATGGTGCAGGTAGGACGTCCTAGGACTAGCCTACCACAAATATCCGGGGTGCCTACACTTTTAACACTGGATAGGAACTGACATCATGAACTCCACTGACATTTCTTAGTCGCCTTATCGTTCATTGTCTCCAGCCCAGTACAGAGAGGATAAGGTGGATCCCATCTTGCAAGACGAACAGCACACGATGCCCAAATCTCTTATAACCCTCTCCATTTACTTGTGTCATGTCGAATTCTGTTCAGCCTTAAGTTTCCACCACTCTTAATTAGGCACGGGAAACAGTGCTATTCTTGACAGTCGGTGGCTCGGCATGCGCAACATATAGCCGAGTCACCTTAGCTGGCAGTGCTGGACGCATTCTTTGAGTGAAATACCGTCTGTTTCACCAAAAGCAGTCTTTTTTTGAACTGTTGGACAGCCGCGTAGTTCCATACGGATTCCTTGAATTACTTCACATCTGCGAGGTAGTCTGGGAGAAAGCTGTGCGATGGGATTAGGAACACTAGGTTGTTTTCCGAATATGACATGCAATCAACTCCAGATGGAGAAGTTAAGAAGGTCGTCCTCCAAACCAGATTCGCATCACTAAACTGTTGACTGTCAGCCCGCGTACTGTTAAATACGTTCGAGGAATCCGACCGTGCGCAGTGACATCAAGAGACCAACTTACCTGAATTTCTTCGTTAGGTCAGTTTATCATTGCTTCTAGGGTCCGACCTTCATGTCGTACGATATAGCATACGAAATAATCCCAGTCTCAACCACCAACGGACGTCACTCGCTAACTTTCAGAAAAAGAAGGAAGCCACACATGCCAGTCGGAACCTAGTGTGTGATTACTCTCCTAGGCAGTGGGAAACAAGAGTCTGATGCAACTCCAAACTCATCTACTGAATGAACTATAGCGATTGACGTCTGTGTTATATACTGTCTACTCCATTAAGCAAGCCTTTTCCACTGTCCGTTGGGACAGAATTTTGAGTGTTTAGTTTCTGGAACGCGATCCCACTACTTCCCGTGACTTTTTGGATAAAACTTATTCGTCCCAAGACGGTATGGCACCTCTAACAATCCCCCTTCTATGATCTAGACAACCAGGAAGTAACAGCAAATTTCATTAGATTATCCAGTAGTCCACTTTCTTCCTAACTCCTATAATTTGGTAACAGTTCCCTATCTTCTATTCGACTAACTGTAAACCAAACCTGCGTTACCAACTTCAGAGCGTATTTCCAACATAGTAGCGTTCGGTGCCTGTACTTCATATCAAATGGATCAACGCGCACTCTTTGTTGGTTGTTGCTCTAGGCTGCCTTCAAGAGAGGCATACATGACTCCATTGTCGTAATGTATTTCGACACAATCCAAACCGGCTCTGCTCTCCAGACTCCTGACGACCCAGTCTCAGCACCCCATCGTCTTAGTCATTTGATCATTACTTTGGGTTTCATACCCGAAAATGCTGTGCTTGGTTGGGTTCCCCCTAATGGCCAGTCATTTGCAGTTGACCGAGCCAGTCAGCGACCAAAAACGCGTAAATTGCTTAGTACGTCCACAACACGATTAAGGGGGGTTGGAAATCGTTTCATAAGGGTGTTGCCCAACTGTATTTAGAACATTTCCAACTATATGCACCCGTTGTAGCACAGCCCGGGAGCATCTGGATGAACGTTTGCAAAGTGAGTCACAGTTCAACCAGCAGCAGCTGAATGCTGAGCGGGCAGAACGAGAGAATGCAGAGAATACACTCCAGCGTGAACTGGATGACACCAAAGCGCGCTTGGCATCTCTGGCTGATATAGTGGCTAAACACGACAAGGAAGCTTCGGCTCGTCTGAAGGCGGAAGAAGATGTCGAGTCAGTTCGGAAGCAGATGGAAGAGGTTCAGGTGAGTTCACCCCCAGTTATTCTTGATGTTTAGCAGAAATCGCCTTTTCACAACAGATCAGAGGTAGGTTGTCAGAAGTTTTTACAACATCCATTTACCTAGTCACCGTTCTGTTATATATTCCACGGGTCATGTGAAATCAACAGAGGGCTAGTGACAACCTCTTTCTCAACACCAACTGCTACACCTTCCTCCCGGTAGCAAGTTCTGATGGTCAATGTCCACAATTTACTTATAGGTAATCAATATTTCGATGCATTACAATCAACTTCCGACGCTGTAGGCTCAAGGCAGCTCGTCGTTGGGAGGTTCGCCAGCCGGCAAGCCTCCACGGCAAAGCAGCAATTATTATGAGTACAAGCAATGAGAGAAAGAAGCAACAGAAGGATATGCCGCTTTGACGCCATAGATGCTTCAAACTAGCAAACGCGACTTGAGCCTTGAATTATTAGTGGTGACCTTGGCCATTCAATGCGGTTGCTGCCACAGATCTGGTGTGGATCGAATCTCAGCACTGCGGTTTTTCAACTTCCTCGTCCAACCGAACGGAGGGAAACCGGGTCTACAAAATATCTCATGTCATCCTTGACAGAGGAATGCGTTGAGCCGTCGAGTCCAAAAGAACAGCAACTACTACAGCGTTTACTTTGCCACATATGGCACACCATCTCTTTCACACTGAAACGGTAGTCATAGTCAGATAACAGCAGAACCTTATGCGGCAAGTGATTTGTGAAACACGATAGTCTGGCCTCGTTGATTGCCATCTTACTCGGTATTTACGATGGGATCGGTAAGCAAAACGTACGGCTAGAATTTCTTGGTAAAAAATCTCGTTGCAGTAGGTTCGTTCACTAGCCGCTACTTGCTTCCGTTAAGCAACGAGGTAAGAGTAGGTATGTCAAACGTCAGAGTTGGATTTCTCCCACAAAACAACTCTAGAGGAAGTTGCGCGAGTCAGTTTCTCCCGCTTATTTGCTTCTGACGTGGAGAACATGTTCAACCACTCGTCTGTATTGTTGGATCAGTTAGGAGCAGTGTAGGACGCCATAACGATGATCCCATCATTGGACACCTTGTCATTCCAACATATTTTGAGTAGTCACCTTAAGTATCAGTGTTCAGAGTCATCGAAGTTCGACAGTTCGGAGAGGCCAGATGCCGCAAACCTATGTTATTACGAAACGGAGGCCATAGTGTACACATGGAGCTCCTTTCGAAAGCTGATTTCTGAGCTTTTTCATAGAGCGGTATGAATCTACATGCTGTGCCGGCGCGGTATCCATGCAAAGTCCAGTGAATAAGTCGCAGTAACTAACCAATACTGATTTTATAGTGCCACTGATACCAGCGCAGTGCGCAAGAAGTTCCTGGATCACTGTATTTTGGCGATAAGCCAATTTTTGATAGGTTATCGACGATAGATTAATCAGAACTGAAAAGTATTTGAACTTCACCAAAAAACTTCAATACCAGAAAGATCGCAAATTTGTAGTGATGTAAGCACAAGATCACTTCATCTCTCGTTCGTATGGTCCGTACTTAACCGAATTACTTTCAAGAATCGCTAATTGGTTTTGGAAGTAGAACATTTGAAGTGCTAAATCGGTCATCTTCTGGTTGCTAGAAGTGTACTGTATCGTTTTAATGCCTTCAATAGTTCATTATGCACATTTTATTATTCCCTACTAATTAGGTTCACATCCAGACTAAGAGGAACGGCTGAACGACGAACTAATTTGGTAAACGAGCCACGTTTTGATATCTGCATGTACATCAGCGAATTCGCCAGCCGGGCGGACTATACACTTGACCCATTTAGGTAACGATAAAAATGGTATGTTATATGCGGCAATGATACGCTAGACTAAATTTGAGTTCCACAGAAACAAGCAGTTAGGCCGCGGGTCGTCTCACTAGCGATTTTGATCAGTGCACAACAATCGAGTTTGTCGATAGGTTAGTCCTAAAATTATCATTTGTGGCTTACACAGTATGAGCTAAGCTTTCGCCAGCAACCACTGGTAAGCCCTCAAGATGCCTACTTTGTTTATCACACACCAACACCTGAGTTTTAGCTGATCACAGGACCCGATGACTGGTGTTTGATAGTGGATCAATATGGCTTATGCTGTTTTTTAGCTTCCACACTCAGTAATGTGAGATGCATGTACTTACACGCTGTCAGTGATTTAATTCCCACTACCGAAAGTGGATGTTGCTTCCGGCACAGTCAACGATGTGCGTACTCGTTGATGTTTATTTAAAACCCGGCTTCACGCAGCTTGTAAATAGACTAGTTTGGTAGCGTTCGTCATCCTTTCCTTTCCTTTTGCGTGAGACCTGTGTTTCCTGCGTCGCGCGAAGTGTCGAGTGCACAAAATTCGACGATTAATTAATGGAGAAGTATGTTGTTTTAATGAGGACAACTACTCACAAGGTTTCTGAAAACTCTTCGACAGCCCGCGACCGGTTTCGCCATCCTTGTTGTTTTTAGTTAAGCTTCTACATGTATCTAATTTTTCAATTAATATTTGGCTGCGCAACATTGTCTCATGCAAGAAAAATCGAATGCGATCACCTGTTTGCATGAATCGAACTGAGGTGAACGCATCAGAGGTGTGCGTCACTCGTCATCGCCTTCATTGTAGACCGACAAGCATATCCAACTTGTACTTTCAAGTCAACATTCCTAGGCGTCATTCCTTCCAGACTGCAAGTGCGTGAACTTCGCATTTCGATGTTTATCCCGTCCCTTTCCTTTTTCCATTCTTATATGAATTTCTCTGCTTCGTGGTACTCCCACCATCAACCCTGTCCTCTCGATAACCGTGAACGGACAATAGAAACTTATGAAACAAATTCAAACTGTCTGACAAACGCGATTAAAAATGGTTCAGAGACAGAAAGTAAAATTTGAAAACTTATTTGGTCTATCGTAACCACCTGTAAACAGATATGTAGTCTACTGAACAATCGCTTTATTACTGGACGGTTGATTAGCGAGTTTTCATTTTACTCACGCATATCAAAAGGATTTTTTCCCAAAAATGCAGTACTCGGTCTACTTTGTAGCCCTCTTTGAAATGACTCTTTCTCTGACACAGTCTGTAGCCATAGGGGCCAACGCAGGTATTGAGTTATTCATCCTTTCGAATTATGTCCACCTGTCTCGTGCGCACTAGTTTGCTCTACTGCCCGGACGATCGGCTGCATCGCCTTTGACCAGAGTTCGGAAACCCTCCTCTTCCCGTCAAACCCTTGAGTAACGAAATTTGGCTAGTGAATTAGAAGCTTCGTACCCAAAGCAATAAACCATAAGGTTTCAGTCAAATCTACCAAGCGCTGGATAATAACATGAAAGATCGAAAGTTCCGGCGCTGAAAACACCCGGGCAAAATTTAACGCACAGTAGGCCAAACGGCGGCGTCCCCGGTCAGCATGAACTTGGGATATGGCAAAACGTGTGCGATCAGAATACTGAAATCGTTTGAGGCTGGCAAACTATATCAACATTTAGCTTTTGTATCCATGAGGTGCAGAAGCTGACCAGGGGCGAGATTGCTCAAGTGGTTAGAGCGCGAATTTACTGACCGGAAGGTCCGTGCTTCGAACCCGACCTCTGTCTCTCGACTTCCCCTGTCTAGGCTTGGGCAACCTGGCAGTATCCCAGCCCTCTTGCTTTTTTCGGGTGGCATGGCAGCTAGGCACCATAAGGATGTTAGGGCTGAACGATTATTATTTAATTTTATTAAATTTGTATCCATGAGGTATGTGTCATTTCTTGTGGGTGATCCGCAGTTGCATATCAAAGTCAAATATGGTCATGTAGGTAGGCATATTTGTGGCATGTGAATCCGCACAAAGATATGTTAATACACATTTATTCACAATGCTTATCACTAATGAGGCTGGAAAATTAGCTGGATTTTCGAGCACCTGTAAATATTCCGAAACATGGTGACTTCTCTAAGGCTGACGCCTGCAAGTAACTTGATTTCACCTGCGTTCGACTTCACATGTGCTTCCTAACGCCCCTAGTAGTCGTGATCGTATTAAAGAATATTGGTTGTCCACTACTTGCTACCTGTTCTACAGATTAAACTGAATCAAGCGGAATCCGAGGCCGCCGAATTGCGTACTGAAGTGTCGAATTTTCAACAGCGGATGATATGCTTGCAATCAGATCTGGACAATGCGGAGTCCGTGCAAGCTGACTTTGTTCGCCTTTCACAAACCTTACAGGTGGGTTTTGGGTTCCGACGTTGTAATTGAATTTATGCCAGTCATATTTCCCGTTGAATATACGATACGGATTACGTCCTGTATTCTAGGTTCAGTTGGAAC